GCAACATGGACAAAATCTTTATGTACGCTTGGCCGTGCTCGATAAAATGACGTGTGCAGTTTCAAAAAAAGCTGCAAAATTTCCGTCGTGTGAGTTCCTTAAGTTGAGTTTCGGAAAGCGATATCAGTAAATGGAAGACCAACCAAACGTTTTGGCTTTCGACCTTCCCGCAAGTAGTCAAGTCAACAAGCACAACTAAAACGAAACACAACAGGCCCGTTTCCCGAATGTATCGGAACAGGAGCTAGAGAAAATTTTAGCTGAAAGATATTCAGCAAGAACTAAGAAGACTACAAATTGGTCTGTGGCGACTTTTAAAGGTAAACGTCTCTGTTGATGACGTTTTTGTTGGTTACATTTGTTAACACTACCGAAAACCATTTAATTACAAAATCAACAAAACAATCGGAGACGCCAACATTTTCGGGCAACTTTCATTTCAAAAAACATTGCATAAACGTCATTCAGCGCCCAAATTGTTTTCGTATGTTATAAAAAGAATTGTTTTATGCTTTTAGCTGTGCGTATATCGAATTATGAATGCACTTGGGATGTTTGGAGAGCACTCGAGAAGCTAGAGTTGCCCTCGGCTGCACCTCGAGCAACTCTTACGCTTCTCTCGTGCTCTCCAAACTCCCCGCGTACATCCCTAACTCGATATACGGACGCTAAGCATGAAACAATTCTTAAATGCCTTGAGGTAGACTGTTAAATAGCATCGCAGCAGAATGTTGTAGTGTTCGGGGAACAGTCGATGGTTCAAGGCGACGCTCACAAGAAGATCTTAGAGCCCTTTCAGGTTTATGTTCGACCAGTTTGAGGCAGGTTCGCCAGCAGTTTTGATATAAGGGCTTGCATATCGTCCTGGTTATGTAATAGTCTCTGCGATAACTAATGTTGTCAATATTGTGCCCTGATCTGATGTTTTGCTCTACCAGCGTTCCATTGCCATTAAATTTTTGTGGTTGTGGATGAGAGCAATATTCCCTTAAGTTTGAAATTGATCTTAGTTTTGCTGTATATCGCGCAGTGATTGGTCCAGAACTCTCGTGCCACTTTTTCATCCAATCAGATTTAAAGCTTAAACCAATTGTGACTTGGTCACCTGCATTTTTCTGTGCTTCAATCAGTTTGCTTGTTTTTTCTCTCTGTTCCCGCCAGCTAACAGTGATATCTCCCTTTCTTCTGCTTTTGTGATTATTTTAGGTTTGGTTTTATGACATTCAATCAAAAGGCATCCCATCATTTCTTAAAATCAATGACAGGAAACAATGGGCAAAGAGACAACTCAAGCAGGTGCTATTGGTTAAATGCTATCTATTCATATTTATTCTAAGTTTATTTTATTAAATCTTTCACAATTTTCACTGAACCCTGTAACACTTAAAAGATCTGAATTTGAACTCTTCCCAGTAGCGGCAACTTATTTACTTATGACTTATTTATGAGAATTTGGTTTAGATCAAGAAAACAATTTCTACCAGATAAGTTTAGGTCTTCTCATTACTAGTCTGGATCTTCTGAAGAGAAGTTCCCTTTGATCACTTTCGGGAGGTAAAAGAGTTCAGTTATTAATCAAATGCATCCATCAGCCTGATTTCCCTTTAAAATGACGTACTTTGGAACGTATGACTTACACGATTATCTAAATCTCGTTTACTTTGATGATTATAAAACGCGGTGTTCCTCTAGAATCTGTAATAAGACATATTAGGAAACGAACCACAAAGGCATCATTAAGTTTCCCCTTCCTCGCTACGTCTCGGTTGCCTCATCCGCACCCACCCCACTCCTAACCTAAGAACAGTCGACCGACAACAAACGACGTAGAGTCAATGCTGGGTTAGGGGGTGGGGCTGGTGCGTAGTTTCTCAAATACTGAAATTGTTTCTCCTCATCAATCAGTCAGCAAAGCGGTACTTTCGTCCAGAAACTCGTAGTGAAATTTTATCGCGCAAAAAAATGCGCATGTCTTCCTCTTGAGGAACAAAGCAAGACGGGCCAGTTGTGACACTAGTGCGAAAAGTGCAAGGAGAACAACCAGCGCAGGAAATAAGCAGAGTAAGATAACCACTATCCATCGAAACACCACCATGATATGTTTGTTGGGCCCCTCGGGTTTGGTGGCTGAAGAAGAAAGAGTGGCCGTTGTAAGGTTCATTACAGCTATGCAGGCCAACGTGATCAAAGACAACGTTCCGAGTTTTTCTGCCGAAGGGTGACGGAAGGGTTTCTTGACGAGATGATGGACTAACATCAGAATACAGGCCACGGACAAGCAGAGGAAGCAAATCATGGAATTTAGAATGAAGGCACGAAATGTCAAAAGGACGAGCCGGCTGCCTATCAAAACACTTTCCCAGTAAAGAACACCGCGATCATTTTTACTTGGTGGGCGGAAGGGACCATGCAATATCTTTGATATTTCGTCGGTGCATTCGTGACGCAATTGAGTTTGGCTACCGGGCTGTCTATTGCAGGCACTTTGTAGGAACCAGCGAACGAGAAATGGAAGGGGAACAATGCAAGCGCCGACAAACTCTTTCCATGTAATAGCTTTGGCGTAAAGCTTGCCAGAACCCCAATAAAGAACGCCAACAAACGGGACCACAAATATAATAATATATGCCAAAAGGCCATGCTGCCACCATTGCCAGCAAACGGTGTTGCCGTCGATGGTAAGGCGCCATTTGGAGCCAATGGGGACACACTGCAAGAGCTTAAGAGATGTTTCAGCGAGGCGCTCGTAGCCTAGCAACAAAATCTCCACAGCAACCGCGACGTAATGAGTGAATGATGGTCTTCCCTTGTCTATTACCAAATTCAGCGACCTGTGAAGACAGTAAACTATGAAGACATGTGCAATGGCAGCGAAAACAAGGGCAGATAAGAACAGCTCTTTGGTCACTGCTGTGAGGCCAGCAAATGGGCAGCCGATGTTTTCGTCCAAAACACGGACCTTAAAGTTAAAGGCCGCAACTAAGGTGGAAATATAAGGAACTTTTGCCAAAATGTCCTCCAATGAATCAGTGAGAAGCAACTGTGCAACTTGGTAGAAATAAAATACGATCCTTAAATAACCATACTCGGGATCTTCAGCTCTATGAAGAGATAAGCGTTCCTCTATCTCCAAAGGGGCCTGCCCTTCTGTTTTAAACCACAGAATTTGACGTTTCAAATACAAAACGAGTGGGGGCTTCTTCAAAAGATAAATGGTTAACAACACGGTGTAAAGTCCCATTAGAACCCAGAGATAATTCCATTTACATTTGTGGGATTGTCGACATTCTGACGAAAAAAGCGTTTCTGAGTATCCTGTGGCACATCTCCCGCACATGATACCAGACCTAAAGCCACGGCACTTGTTGTAATCATTACCGTGATATTTATATATCGATTGAGGAAGACAATACTCCCATGGACAAGGCACGAATTTCAGTGACGAAAAGTTACTAGCGTTGGGGATTTTGTAACCCCAGAAATTGAGCTTTGCCAGAATGTTGTTGGGTCCATTGCAGTGAGCACCAAAAGGACACTCTTGACATCTGAATCCTTTACTGACTTTAAGTCCTCTAGAAAATCCACTTTGAAGACTGTACATTTTAGGGGGACACATTTTGCAAGAGAATATCTCAGTTGTTAAATTGATTCGACAAAAATGACTGTCTTCTCCTCCGTCGTAAATAAAATGAGAGAAATTGGAGAATTGGAGTTCGCTGCCAACTGCACATTGGATTGTCGAGCTGGAGTCCATCTCGAAGTAGCCTCCAGATGTAATTTGTAGAACAGATCCTGGCGTAAGCCTGTTGCCCATACCGGAATAAAAAGAGGTGTTGAGTACTTTTATCGGGCCTCCACTTTCTGAATAAAAAAATCTGCTGAAAGTAAACGCAATCCCACGGAATTTCTTGCTTAGTTTTGTTCGTTTGAACACGCAGCTGTTGAACTCAACTTTGGCACTTCCGTATCCAACATAAATCTGTCCTGTGTTTCTCTCGGAGAAGTTATTAATAAACTTGCATCTCTGAAATTTAACATAGCCATTAATGATTTGAACAGCTCCTGCAATGTGTCCAAGGTTGTTTTGAAACAACGTGTCCTCGAACAAGACGTGACTGGAGTATTTCCACGTGCGATGGGTATTATTTGTCACGCCATTGTCAACACATCCCCTGTTCTCTAATGCATCCGTATTGAAAAGCAGTAAGAGTGCTCCTTGACTAGTCGTATAAGTGGGAATGTGTTTGTGATGTACTCTCTTCCATTGGTCTATTTCAAGACCAAACCCGTCTCGAAACAAACAACGGCGAACAACAATGGTCTTTTTACCCTCGGAGGTAAACGTAAACGAATTGCTAGGCTTGCCTTTGAAGGTCACATCTTCTAATTCAATTGCAGTTTCAGAAAAATTTTTCCTCTCCAAGTGAGGAGTAATGAGACGAATTCCAAAAGTGGAGTTTTCATGTCTTTTTATTTCTTTACCGTCAAACAGCGTGTTGGTCATCCGAAAGAAGATATTTATGGTGTTGTTCAATAACCCATATATGTCGTGAATGTTTTTCTGGAATTTGCAGCCTTCGATAGTAACACTTAGATTAAAGTTGTTTTCATTCCGCCGGTCCCAGGAGATGATGCGCAAACCGTTCAGTGAAGAAGACACCGTTACGTTAACTAAAGTAAAATAAAAATTAGGAGTTATGCCTATAGCCGTTAGGTTATTTTTGACAAAAAGCGTATTAGAAATTGTAACGTTTCCAGAATGACCTTCACTTCCCACCACTCGAAAGATTGCAGACCACAACTTATCCGCTTGGTATGCGCTGTTATTGTGAAAACATGAATCGTGGACTCTGACAAAAACTGTTGCATTTGTCCTTCCGTCGATTTTTACACACATAACCTGATAATTATCCTTGCATTGCAAACGATCGAACGTTACTCTGGCTCTCAACACTCTTGAAAAGTAAAGACTACGAGACTTTCTCTGAGAGAAATCGAAGTTGTTCCGCTCAAGGACGACGTCATCGTACTTTTCTGACGTAATAGCTGTGGGGAGGTCGATCTTTAGAAAATGGCCGCCACTGTCAGCGGACCTTACCTTTTCAACAGCGATAGACGGATAAATCTTGCGGAAAAGATTACCTTCGTTTGAAAATTCGACAGCGCCCCTGAATAGAGTTTTAAAATGATCTAAAAACCCATTCTTCAGGAATTTAGTGTCCTTGATATCCAAAGAGAACTTCAGGTCTGTCCCAGAGCCTTCAAAAAATTGTATTTTCACACAAAGAGAGTTATTCTGAAACAGAGAACCACGAATGGTGAGATTTGCTGTTGAGGTATTGGTAGAGCGAACAGTGACAGCTTCTTTAGCGTTCTGATGAGTGCAGTTGATAAGTGTGATTTCAAAACAGTCTTTAAATCTCAGGGGTGTTTCAAGGAATGTTATTCCAGCTAATGAGACTCGTAGATCTCGGTTTGACCGATAAAAATGAAACCCCGTCAGGCATCGTATGCAGGCTCGGGTAAGGTCTAAACTAGTTATTGTTACATTCCTTCTTATCCAGATACCTCGCTGACCCCACGTTATTGGCTTTTTACAGTCGAATGGTCTCTGTTCTGCTCCGGTTCCATTCAGCATAATGATCCCTCCCGAGGCAACCCGTGAAGCTGCCACTGCTATTGTTCGACATGGTTTCCCTATGGCCCCGCAGTCATCAGCGTCATTTCCAAATACTGAAACGTGGACTATTCGTTGTCGCTTTGACAAAAGGCAATCTGCAAACACAGGTGGGTAAAATTTATCATACAAACTCTACAAACTCATCACGCCAAAAGTAAGCACTAAAAAAAAGACTTTTAAACGGTCTATTTATATCCATCCCCATAATGAGTTTTAATGGGTGAGAATAAAAAAAAATTACACTAATTTCAATGTTTAATTCTTCTTAATTATTATTTTGGATTCCAGCTAGCTGTAGGGTGACCTGAGGGTATCCAAAACTTTTAGTTCTCGATCTCAATTGATCTGGTTACCTGACTGATTTACTGTTGCTAAGGCATGGGAAACTTATCATGAAAAGGTATATTCTTATAGAAGAATGAAGTATGTACTGTGCCTCCATGCAACAAACAAACTTTTATGTTTATCGAGACACCCATGGCAAGGTAGTTGTAGAACAAGAAACAGAGTTATTAAAACTCTAGGATATAATGACTGACTTTTATGAGAGTTCTAACACGACAAAAAAATTAACATGATCTTTAGAATTTCAAGAGTGCCTCAGGGAAGGATGCTGAGTAAAATTTCTTTTCGATTTTCAGTTTCTACTGCGAGAAAGACAGCCTATGTAAAAATAGAGTTGCTGTAGTTGCTTCTGTGTTCGGTTCGCTGACTAATTCGCACTGCATGCCTTACGGCTAACTCCAAAACGCAAAAAGATGTTGTCGCAATGACTCAATTTCTTTAAAATCCTAATATTACCGCTAGTGACAGTGGAAACAAGGGTATCTCCAAATGCCTGTGTATGAGCGAAAATCGCTGTCTTTAGTTTTCTTGCTTACTAAACATGTGTAGCTCTCTAGTTTCAATTTACTGAGTACTCCTGGTTCCGCGAAAACATGAAAATTCACCGAGCTCTCTGGATTCGACCATAACTGTACATTACCGCTCGTCTAAGACTGAATGAATGAGTTGATTTTTTAAGCACTAAAAGTCTGTGTGACGAAATCTCCGTTTTCTATACAAGCTCAAACCTTCTGCAGTCAGCGTATACCAACCACCGAAACTGAAATTAAGTGTAATTTAACCGTACGCAACATATATTGAACTTCTTTTAAATTCGTGTAATAAACTCTGAGGATGTCAACAAAAAGGTTCCGAGATCACTCTTAGACAATGTTCCCGTTTTATCTTTTAATTGCAACGATTTGACAAGCTGATGGTTTCATTAACTGTGCTAAATGTGTAAAGGCTGATAGTTTCGAAAGAAACTGTTTGGGGCTGCGTCGGTGGGAGTAACGAAATAATTTGGATATATCAACAAAGTTGAAATGGTAAATTTGCCACCGTAACGATTACAAAAGCTGACGTTTCGAGAGTTAGCCCTTCGTCGGAGCGAAGGGCTAACGCTCGAAACGTCAGCTTTTGTAATCGTTACGGTGGCCAATATACTAATTGTGAATTTTAGAAATCCAAGGAAGATGGATAAAAACAAGGTAAGGCACTTGTAGTAAATTTATTTAATTAACATAACGTTCGATCCACGGAGTCATCAGGCAAAGGATCCGCTTCAATAAAAAACCTTACCACATATCACAAAATATTACATCGAAATTTCAGATGGAATTTTCGTTGCAACCACGTCGCTCTTCCGCATCGCATACTTAAACCGTCATAATATTTCTGTCTTTGATCATTTTTAGGTTAAATGAGAGCAAATAAAAACTTACCTGTTACAGCAAAAAAGAAGATCACGATTAAGACAAGACGGTGTGATACCGGCCATGGCCAAAGGCCCGCCATCGAGAAAGCCCTGCTTAAGTAGTACTAAGAAGGAAAGCCTTTCACTACATCGGATGCAATGTCAAAGTATTTAAAAACGATTAGAAAATGAAATAGCGAGGAACCTTCATTCAAGGGACACCCATCAGACAGGGAAAAGTGACCCTGAATAAAGGCCTTTTTAGAGAAGTTGAAAATTACAAAAGCAGATGCAGAAGTTAAGGGTTCACCTGTGGCATGAGACTCGTGTAAATCCTTGTAAACGTTCTCGACAGAATGACATTATCACGTGCACGAAACAATTATCCTACAATAATATAATTAGATTCACAAGTAAGATGTAATCATCCCAACACCACCTTATGCTGCCACCTTATTGGTCGGTATGGCAAACATAAACTTTTAGCGCTTAACTTTGTGGCGCCAGTTCGCTGACAGCGGTCATTTTTGTGATCAGCGGTCATGTAGGAAGTTAAACTGTTTTTATAACGTAAGTCAGAGAAAGGTAACCTTCTTCACATAATTTCAGTCATCCTCCGTTGTTCTGTCTTCGCTCTACAGAATTCTGCTTAATTTTTACCAGATTTATGCCATTAGTTTTCCATCACAAACCTTGATCTTCGCGATGGCCCCGTAGCGGAATCTTTAACTATTTCACTTTTCCTACGCACATGCATGACTCTTGGGAACAAATTAAAGATGAGGTGATAAAAGGTGATAAAAAAAGTTTTCCGCGTCCGCAAACCACGCTGATCCACCGATTTGGTAAGAGCTCATTATCGTACTCAAAGTCCTGATTATTTTTCTTTGGGATGGGTTTACCTTCTTCTATGAGCTCGTGCTATATAAACACCTTTGAATTCCATACTCAGCAGATTCCTACCACACCTTACATTAATTATTATTTCAACATTAGGCCACGTGACTTTGTTAAATCTTGAACAGGAAAACTATAAAATTCGTGCTGAGCGATACGGCTGCTGAAGTCATTGTCGGCAAGAAAATACTATGGCTTTAGTTTCGGTCCCACTTTATTGATTTTCCTACCCATATACACACTCACAGACAGATCCAAAAAAGAAAACACTGTAGACCTTAAGCAAACCACAATGGCGACAGATCGAGGACGTGACAAAGCTTAAGATCTTATGGGCTCACACATGTTATACTGATGTTCAGGAATGACGCCGCACGGGACGGCAAACACATCCAGCCTTTCGCAAGATTCTAACCAAAAATGTAAATTCATTTTTTAATCAACTTCTTCCTCGGCATTCCCGTCCTTATTCCTTTTAAAAGATCCCTATCAACCGGAGCTAAGTAGCATTGAGCCATTTAGATGTTCGTGTGGGGTATTCAGTCAAATATACACAAATTGAGTATCATTTTTGTTGTGATTTAGTACGCATCCCGAAATAATTAAGAATTTAGAACGGTGGGCAACAAGTTGCTTAAACTTTTAAAACTTTAATAAGCATATATTGTCTTTAAATTTCACCATTACCTACAGTTTTTTTATCACGGGTTCGAAAACTTGCAAAAGTGCTGTAAAGTTTTATTTCAGGAGGCATTTAAGATTAGTTTGCCTAAAAAATTATGTCCTGCCCAAACGCATAAATTAATCGACAAGAAGTGTTCACCGTGAGAAAATGTTCCAAAGAGTATTTTTAAATAAGGTCACTTCCTCAATCTTACTTTTACAGTTTACCTAGTCTGTTTTTCAAAAACATGTTTCTCGTGAGCCGGACTTTCTTTTCTTTGGAGCATTTGAGCTCGCCGACTATTAGTAGCTTCACATTACAGAGATGGTTGTCGAAAATATTCGCATTCTACAATTTGGCTTCATCGACAGGAAGTGAGGGAGTGGAATCATTTTTTGGATAACCATTTCTTCCTCTTAACCTGCGATCACTCATGGACAACCACGAGGGCCCTAAAAGTGACGTTCTTGCCTGTCAAACGATCTGTCAGTTATTATTACATCAAATGTGCAGAAAAACCTTACCTAAAGTTAATTGCTGCCGATTCCGTTTGTTGTCGAAACAAATTAGTTGTCGAATGACTCAAGTTGCCGAGTGCGAATATTTGAATAAAGAACTCATTACCTAATAAATTACGTCAATGATCGTCTCCCTCATCAAGGCTATGATAATCTTCTTGAATGTTACCTCTCCAGTCGCCCAGAAGTGGTCCTCTTACAAGAACTTTATTAGGGCCAGAGGGAATGAATTGGGCGACTTTTTTGACGAGTGTAACAGCCATACGTACAATCAGCGACAGAATTGCGAAGACAGCAAGTAGAATCAAAAGAGCTGGGACAAAAGCCAACGAAACAATTTGAAACCATTGCATGTACTCGATATAGAGCTTGTTTTCTCCCACAGCAGCGATCCCGGAGGACAAAAGGGTGGCCTTTGTGAGATTTATGATCGCCATGATGGATAAGACAACCAAGGACACGGATTCCACTCTGTTGGCTGTGATATGTTGGAAAGGTTTTTTCACAAAATGATGTATCGCCATAAGCTCGCAACTTACAGCCAATAATAGAGCACGTAACATGGCGTTTGGAATAAAAGAGTGTACCGAAAGGAGGATGAGGCGTCGACCAATTAAAACGCTCTCCCAGTAGAGTGTCCCTCTATCTCCATCTTGATCATTAGGACGACGAAATGGCCCTTGCAAAACTTTTTTCACTTCCTCTGCTCCATCGTTTGGCCTCGTTGCAGAATTCTCTCCTCTCTTCTTACAAACGTGCACGAATAACCAGTAAACAAGGAATGGCAAAGGCACGACACAGGCGGTCAAAAACATTGTTGCAGAAATGGACGATTTATGAAGCTTTTTAGAGCCGTAGTAAAGAACGGCGATGAAGGGCACCACGAAGACGACGCCGTAGCCAAGGAGAACATATTGCCATGGTCGCCAGCAAACGGTGTTTCCGTCGATGAACAACCGTTGCTCAGATCTTACAGGAACACAATGCATTAAGTTCAGCGAGGTTTCGGCGAGCCTGTCGTAGCCTAGCAACAAAATCTCCAAGATAACTGCCATGTAATGATGTACTGATGGAGCATTCTTTTTTCGCACCATGTTGACCACGAAATGGACGCAGTAAATGAAGACAACATTCCCCATTGTGATAAAAACATCTAACGAAAGAAAGAGCTGTTTCGTCACTGCAGTCAATCCCACAAAAGGACAGCCAATACCTTTGTAAATAGAGTTAACCTGAAAGTTGTACGCAGATACGACAATGTTCACGAATGGGATTCGGAGTTCGCGTAGCTTTTCCGCGAGTGATTCATCCACGAACAAGTCAGCAACTTGGTAGTAATAGAAAACAATTTTTAAGTAGCCATTGTCTGTTTCTTCATCGTCCACTTGACCTCTTTCCTCCCTAGGCTCGAGCTCGTTGTGCTCTCTGTTCTTCAAAAACCAGAAGATCTGCCGAAAACTTAGGTATCGCAAGAGTGGCGGCTTCTTCACCAGATATGCTGCCATTCCAGCGGTGAACAGAATGACCACCAACCACAAAAGATAGTCACTGCATTGATTCATTTTACGACAGCTCGTGCTAAATAGCGACTCGGTATATCCCGGAGCACATTTGCCACAGAGATACCCAGTCCTGTTTCCACGACAACTGTTATAGTCTATGGATTTTCTACTAGGAGATTGGCAGTAGTTGTTAGGACATGGAATAAACTTCAATGATGGTGAAGGATGGGAATTTCTCATTTCGTATCCCCAGAAGTTTGGTTTGGCTGCGATGTTAATGTCATTTCGCATGCAAGTTGCTCCTAACGGACAAGGGTGACACTCAAACGAAGTATTCACAGTAAAACCGTTTGCCTTTCCAGTTTCAAGACTGTAGTAGCCGGAGGAACACAGTTTGCAGGCGTACCTAAAAGCTGTAACGTTCACCCTGCAGAAGCTTCTCCTCTTCTCTGTATAAGCGAAGTGAGACGCATTTTCAAGTATCAGCATACTTCCCTTGCTGCACTGTACTGTCGTGTTGTAGTCCATGTCCACGTAGCCTCCGCTAAAGATTTCAAGCACATAGTGAGACTTCCTTTCCGGGATGGTCGAGATCATTGTAGTGTTTCGAAAGACAATAGGTCCTTCACTTTCGGAATAAAAGAAAGCAGCATTATGTACGTTTTTGCCGTCGATGACTTTATCGTTCTGTCTACTCGAGAAAGTACAATCATTGAATTCCACTCTGCCTGTTCCATAGGCAGAATACACCTGCCCTCTTTTCCAAATTGCCAGATTATTTTGAAAAGAACAGTTTTTGAATGTGGTGTTTCCATTGCTGATGTACACGGCGCCTGCGAAAAATCCAGCATTCTCTTGGAATAACGTGTCTTCAATGGTCACGTGACTTTCGTATCTCCACAGAGGGTGGGTGTTGTTAATATCGTCCCGTTGCACGCAACCTAGTTTCCAGGGTTCATCAGGAATTGAGAGGATCGAGACAGCTCCCGTTGATGTCTCATAGATGTACGTGTGTTCGCCAAAGTTCAAGTGTTGTCTACTGAGAGCGGTGCAGTATCGAAAAACTGTTCGACGTATGGTTGTCGTTTTCTTTCCTTTAAAATATAGCACAAAGATACTGGATGGTCGAGAGTGGAAAGTTACTCTGTCTAGTTCAATATCGGCGCTGCAACTCATGTTCTTCTTGATAGGCGGAACAAAGAGGCCGATCGCGTAGCCTTTTCTGGCTCGGCGATTTGGCCGACCTGTAAAGATCGAGTCATTAACTTTTAACCAAATTGATCGCGGATTGCTAACATTTAATGATAAGTCATAAACGTTGCGCTTGAATGAGCAACTGGTTATGAGAATGCTGACAAGGAATCGACCTGTCTCCTGGCTCAACCATCTTTTGGACAACTGCAATCCGTACATACAGGAGGCTACCGTCACGTTTTCAAGCCTGATCCTGCATTTAGGAGTGATATCTAGAGCGCCTTCGCTGTTGTTAGTCATGGAGGTATCTTTGACCGTGACAATTCCTCTCTGTCTTCCAAATATCTGGACCCCAACGAATGCACTTTGATTTGATTTGCCACCGATAAATGAAGATCGAACAATCGTTACGTTCGTGTTACCTCCCGTTGTTCCGATGTAGACTGCACTCTCTGCATTTGGTCGTGTGTTGGTCCAATTGAACTCGTCGAAAATGACCAGTCCGCTATGGAGTGTGAGGCAAAAGCTGCCAAATCGATATTTCAATTTATGACTGACGCAGTTTATCGCATTAACTTTTTTAAGTGATGCATAGAGAGCGTATTTTAATGGCTTCGATTGTGGCTTGTGCGTTTTTCCAACCAGAATAGCAGAGCCGTCCGTGGTAGCAACACACTCTGTAAAGTTAACATTGGTAAAACTTAGCCTCATGTTTTGAAGTGTCGCATTGTGAACAATGTTGAGGTAGACAGCTCCACCGGCGTTCGCTTCGTTTCTTTCAAATACGGTATTTGTCACAACTAAAGATGCATGTTTTGTTGACTCAAGGAAGATAGCACCACCATTGCCCTTGCTAGCATTTTGCCCGACAAAAGCGGAATGATCGATGGAAACTTTGGCCTCATCTGTATAAATCTTTATACATCTTAGAGCTTGATCATTCTTGTTGTTAGCACAATGCATGTGTGTGAATGTTACGTCGACTTTCCTTGTTCGAGATATATACATGCTATCCTTAAAGCGTCTACTCTTCGAACTGAATGGCGTTTGCAAGTTGTTGTCCACCAGTTCAATGTGGCTGTATGTCTCCTTGGTCACCGCTGCTTTAAGTTCTAAAACCACAAAGGGGACCCAGTTTCCAACGCAGCTGATTTTGTAGCATGAAATTTGAACAGGTCCTGACTGCTTTGTACTTTTTGTTGCACGCTCCATTATAGAAATTAAGCCCTTTGCTGAATGTTGTCCATCAATGCCATTTGATATAAATTTTGTTTGACTGATACTCGCAATGAGATGGCTGGTACCGTGCAACAAGATTTCCACGCAGTGATAATTGTTTCTAAATAATGAAGGACCCTGGATATCAAAACTGACGCTTGGTGCCTTTAGCGCGCGAACACTCACTGCGGTTTTAGATTCTTGATGTGAACAGTTCATAAGATGAATATTACTACAGTCTTGAAACTCGATAGGAGTTCCCTTGAATACAATTCCCGATAAAGTCACCATCATTTGAAATTTCGAACGATTTTCCGTTGGGTCACCTTCAAAGTGAATTCCTCCCACGCATGACACATATGGAGTCGACTGAAAACCTTTCATTGTTACACTCTTCTTGATATAAAGACCCTGATAATGATCACGTGCCATCCGATTGGTACAGTTAAAGGGTGTTTGAATGGTTCCAGTCCCATTCAGATGTATACATCCGCCAGGGGCTATGAGATCCAGTGCTTGCGATATTGACTGACAAGGTTCATCGACAGGGCCGCAGTTTTCTGTGTCTCTTCCGGAAAGCGAGACAAAAATATCTCTGGGTCCTTGGTCTTCGGTACCTGAAAGTGTAACTACTGTTTAGTACCCAAGGCTAGAAGACTTTAACTATTATGAGGGATGCTGTTCCCGTTATGCGATGGCAAACGACAAAGTTATACACTCCCAGTCACTTCGTCACGCAGTCGGTTCACTTTAAGCCATTTCGTGGTAAAAGTGGCGAAAACCAAGTTTATCTTTAGGTCTCATGATTGGATAAGGAAGATGGCAAACTTCGGGCTCGGCCCGTCGAATGAACTAAAGGTGTAAACACCTAACCTAAACTCGTAAAAAATGCTCAGTTTCTTTATTAAATTTGGTTGAATGATTCATTTCATTTTCGACCACAAAAACATATTCTTGATTAAAATCGATTTAATAATTAATTCATTTTGAATGAGATTTTCACCAGTGCTTACAATATACTGTCGGTTCGTACGCCTAACATTCGTATCGAAGCACTATGTTGGATTGTCGGTCGTGGGTCCAATTAATGCAACAGGCCTAAGTTTCAACTCCTGAGGAATAACCGAATATTTCCTAGCAATATTGAATGATTTTGACAGAGAAAGAACTTGAGTTGAAAGAGCCGGAAAAGCGGGATTTCCAAATCACAAGGTTCGCGGCTACTTGATTAAATTATTAAGTGAAATGTCTTATTTTTAAGATTTAAAGAAGATTTGAATCTTTCCATTTCCTTTTAAGCGATGACGTATAAAACAAGGTTTGATGCATGAATACCGATTTTGTATGTATTTGTACAATTTAAGAATTCACTACAAATTTAATACCGTTCTCAACCAAAATGCAACTAAAACAGAATTCCAAGTCAACAGTGGAAACATTTTCCGACTGGTTAAAGCCTTTTATTATTCCACGATTGCGCCATGTTACCATATGTATTATAGGGCAAACGGACCGGTGCAGTATGCAGTACAGTATGCCGTGCTCTTACTCTGTAGATCAAGGCAAACATATATGCACGTTGAGCGGATCACAACAAAATGGCCGCACTGAACGATTCCGACTTTGTTTTCTTTTCCCGGCCTTTTTTTTTTTTTTTTGCAAGGTTCGTATTTTATAAGAAAACCGACCTTTTGCTCATTACTTCTAGAGGGTATGGAAAAACATCAAGCAACTCGTTTAATATTCGCGCGTATTATATGTTAAACCATCGATAAGGTGTATTTATTTATTGCCAAAAACTTGGATAACTGATCGACAACCACAGTTGTGGAGTCACAGAGTGTTTTTTGTCCTGTCTCCTGAAAATTTTTGTTTCTCATTGGTCTTTCGGCCAATATCTGATCGAGGACTTTTTCTATTGCGTCTTAAAGGAATTTTTCAGTCGCTGTGAACTTTTCAAGGATAAATGACTCGTTGCAAAAAACTGTTCGTCGACACCAGACAACAATAGAATGATTTTAAGCTTGTCATGATACATCTTAATTCCAAATGCACTTGATTTCTCAACGAAATAACACAAATATAACACCTTGAACGCTTCTTTTAACACGCGATTGACGAGTGATTTCAAAACTTCGAAATAGATGAATTTAAATGCAATACATATAAAACATTCTTCCAAGCCCCAGAAACCAGTTTAACAAAGCTTAGACACGGCTCAGTGCAAAAGATAAAAATATTTTGAGAAGTTTCCCTCCTCTTAACCGTTTTCTTAGGATTTAGGAAGCTTCAACTAACCTGCTTTGACGCTAGGAAGGACCAGAAGTTGAAGAAAACAAGATAAGAGTGGAATAAACGCCATGGACGAAGCCGACAGAGTTAGCTACACATCATTCAAGATCCACAATGCCGTCCTTCGCTGAATTGAAAAATTTTCTTGTGGCGCCGTCTTTTATGAATTGTCCTCTGGAAAACGAAATTATCCTTCTGATACCCGCCTCACTCGTGCTGGAAAACGAAATAAATCTGGCTAGATTTAAACTACTGGTACCTGGCAATTTGTAGAAGACTGATTTTTTCGCTATTTGGTATCAGCGAAATTCGACAAAGCCATCGCAACTTGAAAACTTCCCGAATTTTTATTGTGTAAAGCTGACGTAAAATTTCAGCCTCGATTTATTTTGAAATCAATTTTCCAAGAAACTGAAAAATAGGGGTCCTTGTGACGTAGAATATGATTAAAATTAGCTCTAACAGTTTTTCTGAGAAATATCTTCTCTTTCTGGGAATCCCCTCTCTTTCCAAGAAATCTAAATATTAATTGTGAGAAATAGCAAAGGCCCTAAAAGGCAAGGCAATCAATCAGAGCAAAAAAAATTTACCAAATATAGTTCTATTCTGTTAAAATTCGTTGACTCGATGACGAGCAACAATTTATTTAATTTCTTTTTTAACAAAAGCAAACCATTCTTAGAGTAATTTACAAATAATAATATAACAAGCCAGTCTTATCATATGGAAAGTTCCGTTGCTATTGACAACTGTCAGGGAAGCTCAGTCAAAATAATTGCGTGAGAGGAAGTTATTATATGGCTGTGTCTCACACGGACTGGGAACTACCGAATTCACGAATTTGATTGGCTGAAATCAATATTGAAAGCGGTCTAGATTTTCCCATCTAGACCGGTCTAGAAAAAAAAGGTACAAAGAATATAAAAAATTGGCATATAAGACACAGCCATATAATAAACATCTTATTAACCGAGCTAGGTCGGTCTGTATGGGAGAATCTTGACCTCGGTCGCTGATACAGACCTCACTGCGTTCGGCCTGTTCTGGCGACCTCGGTCAAGATTCTCCCAGACAGACCTCCCGCTCGTTTAATAAGAACTAATTAACAATCGGGCGGGTGGGAGGTTAAAACTGCGGACTCGGCTGGACGTGAAAGTTTATTATTTGCTCTCTCAGCCGTCAAGAAAACTTCGCTTCCAACCGAAATCCCTGATCTGTTCTCGCCTGAATAGCTTCCACTCTAGATGGGTCTCCGAGAATTAATAAAGCCACGCAATTTTGGGGAAATTTAACTCTGAACGAAATGGTTGTAGTAGAAGAAAGGGCTTAATTGAGGGTAAGCGGCTTTGACAATCGACGCTTAATTCGTTTGTCCTACTTTGCCGACGTTTGACGGTTAAATTTTCAGGGCTTTTGACAGTCACCAGGAAGATATTCTTCAATATTAAGGGTTTTTTAAATTTTTTTTGAAATATCTATAAATTGTATTTAGACCTGTCGATTTTTCTCCGACAAAGCGAAAGTAAGGCGTTCTTAAAAATGTCCAACAAAAATTGATTTTTGGTTTTAAAAACACCAAGTTTCTGTCGATATCATTTGCAGAAATTCGCAGACCTGTTTCTTCAAGTTCTGAGCATTGCACGTTATGCTTAAGGTGCGAACGAAATTAGAGCCGCAGGGGGGTTTTACCGAAAGTGAACACAGAATAGGCTCTTTGCAGGACTTAATCACGTGCTTGGATACCACGTAGAAACGCATTGCTGGTGAGCAAGCAAACGAGCGTCCCGCTCAACTCAAGCGAAACGAACTCTCACTTTTTGGCTGAAAACATCCCAAACTTTTTTGTTTAAGGACGCAAAACAAAGTTTATCGTGACTTTTGTTTGATCGTGCTTGAACTCCGCCTGATTTACCTTTGCTGTTGGAGAAAAAGCTCGGCGGAAGCCTTAATATTTAACAATTATTCCACGAGCGCGCGTTGGATATGAGATGATAGATAGCCAACGAGGCGCGTAGCGCTGAGTCGGCTATTCTTGGGTTTCACCTACGTGACTAATTTGCTTGACAACGGTTGTTATCTGCCATATTGGTGTCGCAGAATTGTAAGGAATATACGTGTGGTTATGGTTCATTGTATAGTTTTCGGCTGTTCTAGTAATAGTGGCAAAGAAAAAGGCATAGGGTATTATCGTATACCAACAGTTGTTACTAGAGAGGGGGAACTGGCAGAAGAATTAAGCAGAGAACGGCGGGAACTTTGGATTTTAGCGATAAGCGCGATAACCTGAAGTGGAAGAACGTCATTGAAAGAGAGAGAGTCTGTGGTCGTCACTTCATTTCTGGACGACCAGCACAAAGTTGGGATAAGCAAACCATCGACTGGGTGCCCACGTTACATTTCGGTAAAAGAGAGTACAAAACAGTTGACCACAAGGCTGTAGAGGCGAGCGTTTTGCGAACAAAGGAGCGGGCGGAGAAGCGAAAACAACAACTACAGTTACAAGAACTCGAAAGGGAAATCGCCGCGAAGTGAAGGCAAATAAATGAATCTGGGCTTGAAATTAACGCCTCTTACTCTATCGTAATTCACTTCATTGACAAAGGTTGGTAGAAGCCCCGTGCACTTTACCTGGGTACATGCGAGTTTACCATTGATTCGCGTCCACGCTTCGATATAAAACAACACACTCGCTATGTGTGAACATGTTTCCGCGAATCCAGCCTTACATTCCATATAACGGGCACACAAAATAGTCCCCTCTTCTTCGGTAATTAGCCAAATTGGTATCAGTGGATGGTTCATTCTTTGCGAGTGTCTAACCTTCGCAATAACTACTACTTTTGGTGAGACATGCAGACCTTTTACCGACGTTACGAAGCCAGTAACCAGTTGATTATAAGCTTCTAAACTCTTGTAGGCTTTGAATTGCTGCTTAGTATAATAGCTTGCTTCCAGAACTAGGTAGCTTACTAAATCTGTAGCTTCAAGTGATGGAATTACCTCTGCGCTAAACTGCTCACTTGGGATAGTTTGCGGGTCAACGCCAACTACAGATATCTTCTTCAAATATCGAATTTTGACGTGTTTTTCTAAATCTTTTGCGTATTCTGATAGCACTGGAATATTCTTTGAAAGATTTGCGATGATTTCATCAGAATTCTCGCTGAATATGTCCATAATACTGTGACGAAAGACTACTTGCACTACATAGCTATGGTATAAACTTAGCATATATTTGTCACCTTTGCGGCACCAATATGGCCGACGGTTAATTTGCATAATGGTGTGACGTCACGTGAAACCCAAGAATAATCATCTCATATCCAAAAAGCGCGAGTGGAATAATTTTTTTTATTAAAAAACGCCCCCAAGATATTAGACAAGTCTTCTCGACTTTATTTTGTAAGAAGAAACCGGATGTTTCAATGTACAGATATTAGATTATGGTATATTGACTCATATACCATAATGGCTAAGCCAATAAAAAGTCTTGAATGCCATTATCCAATGATCTAGTTTTTATGGCCGCTTCTTTAAGACAGAGTGACGGTGAGTTTCTTTGTTTACAGTCGTATTTCAATCCTATAAACGTAACATCTTTCGATACAGAAAATGATTATCAGTGTTAGGAATTATATTTGCATGAATCCAGAAGATTATGATCTACATTTCCGATTTTGCGTGTCGAATTATTTTAAGATCGTTGAACACAACTAGTGTTATTTACATTCTCGCTCGCTATATCAGTCTTGGATATTACTGACTCATAAAAATAAATTGTTCGTTTTTATCTTGTGTTATCAATACGAAACGAAGTTTTACGCCAGGTGCCTTTATTCTAGAAGGTTTACATTGAATTGGAGGTGATATTTCTATATACCACAGTGACTATTTCTTTCCTCTTGCTGTTTCTGCCGGAAGCGAGTCAGTTCGATCGAAGTTGTTTCGATCGAAGGTCGTTTCGATCGAAACCAAAGGTCAGTTCGATCGAAGTCAAGAGTCAGTTTGATCGAAGAGTAAATGATAGTAGTATATGTAGTAGTGATTCAAGGAAAAGAAGCGATGTCTTGCGAGCTAATAAAGAATAAAATTTGAAGAACGATGATGCGAACCAGGAGCAAATATTTGCCATCATTTTTCCAAATGTACGTGGAACATAAAGAATGGTCGCGTCTGTTTTCTGAAAAAGCAAATTAAAAGCGAACCCTGAGGAATAAAGCGTGATAACTGTATCAGGAAATATTTTAAACAGATTTGATAAATAGTAAGTTCAATACACTTAAGCAATAGTTACAGTCCTCGATCGAACTGACTCTTGTCTTCGATCGAATCGACTTTATCGATCGAAACGACCTTCGATCGAAACGGCCTTCGATCGAAACAACCTTCGATCGAACTGACTTGCATTCTTTCTGCCGACTTGTCAGCATTTCTTGACCTCGCATTTTCTGAGATTGAAGCGTATGCCCAGAAAGAATCTGGCTGCAGGCACCCAACCAAACGCTTTAAGGTTTTCGCTGACCCTGGATATTTACACGATGTGCGTCGAATTTTTACGATCCAGTTTGCTATGAGTTGTTCGTCTTTCTTAGGAAAACGATGAAAAGACAACGAGCTGTTGTAACGGGAGTCATTGCTACATTCTGGATCACAACAATGCAACGCAGAACCTCGTTTTTTCTTGTTGGCAGGTTCTAAAATAGAACAAAATGTTGTCCTCAGTTGTAAATCCGCAATTGTTTGGCGAAAAGATTATGATTACGAAATATCAAGGTGAGAATTTGGCCACTCAGTTGCGGCAAAAATGAAAGCGAGCGAGAATGTGACCACTAGTTGTGTTCAACGAACTTAAAAGAATTCAACACGCAAACTCGGAAATACAGATCATAATGTTCTGGATTCAAGCAAATGTATTTCCTAACACTGAAAACCTTTTCCTGTATTGAACGACATTACGTTTATAAGATTGAAATACGACTGCTAACGAAGAAACTCACCGTCACTCGTTCCTGGAGAATCGGCCATATCTTGTCTTATATTTGGGCTTTCGCCTGGCTTTTACTCCCAGAGCAAAGGTAAATCAGGCGCGAAATTCACACTCGATGAAACTAAAGTCACAGTAAATCTCGTTTTTCATTCTTAAACAACAAACGTTTGGGATGTTTTCGACCAAAAAGTCAAAGTTCGTTTCGCTTGAGTTGATCGCCACGATGAGCGGGACGCTGGTTTGCTTGCTCACCAGCAATGCGTTGCTATGTGGTATCCAAGCACGTGTTAAGTCCTGCAAAGAGCCTAGCTTCGCACTTCCTTGCTAAAAAATGATAATACATAACTATAAAAAATAAAACGGCTACGAAAATACATAAGTTATTAACTTATAAGTTGACAATTCATACAAACTGTAAGCTGTAACTTTCCCAAATAAATACCTTTGATTGATTCAGTAACATATTGCAAGACGTCAAATTTTTAGAACACATCTCACCGTTTCACTCGCTCTCTCCGTCTCCGCAAACAGTTTTAGTAGCTCCAACTCAAGTTATTGCTGGTTTGTGAGATCGTAATTCAATCAGTTTTCCCTTTCAGTAATTTTACCTGCCGGTACAGCTTGAGCTCAATCTGAAACAAGACCAAATTCAATAACAAAGTCGTTGATACCGAGGAAAGAAATTAGTACGTCAGCGTTTTAATTTCGGTCGTAATTTTCGGCTTTAATTTCGCCGAGAGCAATTCGTTTCTTGAATCGCTCAGAGGTTTTTCTTCCGCTTTTACAGTATAAAAGCGGAAAACAGCTTTCAAGGTCTTTCAACAGAGACGCTTGACGGGGTCGTATGGTGCGGGGAATGGCCTGACGTAACGTGCACCGGCAGAAATAAGTTGTCAACGTAGTAAGATGAATGAAAAAACGATGTTGGTGCATCCACTGTTGTTTTATAGTGAATGTACCAGATTTACCGTTTGCCTCACCTAGAGTGATACATTGCTGACTATGTACATAAATCACTAATAAATAAACGTTGAATTACTTTACCTGTGGTGCATAGTCGTCCTTTTGCCTCAAGAATGTTTTTTTTTTGAGCGATTTTGAATAATGCTGATTTTGTCGTTAATGTAATGCATTAAAGAAAGACAAGGGTGGAAACCTTGTTTTTAAAGGATTCAAGCGCCCCAGCAATTTTCCCACCGAAAATCGCATTGCTCCGCTTTCAAACTTTGCAGCATTAAAGTCAAAAGATGCACGATTCTCCTCGTACCTTCCAATCCAAAATTCATCCAAACGGACCGGAGCTAGCCCTCGAAGAAAATCAAAATCCCAAAGTATTTTAGCGTCTGGGATGCGTTGCAAGATTCTCATATGCCAGCCAGAAACCGTCACGTTGATTGCCCTTTTCTGATTGGACGACGTTAAACGATGAACAATTCAAAATATCTAACGAGTGTGGGGAACCATTGGCGTTTAGTGACCCTTCAACTGTTTACCCACCAGACTCGGGTCGTGTGTCTTGACGCTCACCGGAAGCAACTTACGTTTTCGTCCATTGTTCGCGTCCGCTAGTGAATGAACAGGGAAACAGATTGTTTAGAATTCAAATATTCCAATCCCGGCTGATCGGTTAAAAGACTTTGAATGCACAGACCGAAAATGTTTTCCACGTTTAAAGCGAACGACGAGGGAAACATTAACAAAAAAAGGAAAACAGAAACAATTTGGTAAAATTCACGGCAAAACTACGTTGGGCAGGCGATAGCGTTGTCGAGGGAGAAGTCCAAGTCGATGATATCGAGGGTTCTTCTANGTTCTCTAAAAAAAAAATTAAAAGTTCAGTAAACTAAGCTACATACTAAAAAATTGACTACTTAAATTCTGGCTTGCGCACTTTCCGATGTAATGTCAGTGTCAGATATATTGGCTACTCTTCTCTTTCTCCTGGTTCCTCTGAGACACAGCAAAGCTGAACGTAGAATGGCAAAGGATATCTTCGCCCTTATCCAAGATATGGTTGTAGCGTAGTCATCTTCTTTCTTTAAAGCAAGTAACTCTGCGAGGCGGCTATGGAATCTCTTGCATTCATCGGCCATTCCACATGTACTTGTAAAAACTATGATTATAATAATAATAATAATAATAATAATAATAATAATAATAATAAAAATACTTGATACACAGACATGCCAACAGATTATTTAGTTTGCGGAATAAGAAATGGGCATTCATTCATCCATTCTTTCTTTTTTTCTTTAACTATGATTCTATGATTCCATTACTTTTGCATTTAATCTATCTTTCGTTCATTCATTTCATTATTACTGCATCCATTTATTTTAAAACAAGTTCGTTCATTGATTCTTTTGTGCGTAATTAACGCGATGCATTCCCACTCTGAAATTTTGTGTGCTACCAGATGGTCCTTTTGTCTTTGAAAATATAGAATAATGATTTCTTGCTATATCTATTACTAAGTTGAAGTCTTTATAGTGACCCGTTGAAATAGTGTACTTTCTGAATTTTTGACACAGGCAAAATAAAGATCAACTTTAAAGGCCTCTAATTTTAAAAAGGTCTGTTATATATATTTACAAATCCTAACATGGGAAAGAGTACCAAATAACCCCATACATTAATTATGCATTCCAATTCTTTGTCTTTCACAACAAAACTTTAAAAACAAAGTCTACTAGTCTGAATGCATAATTTATGTATGGGGTTATATGGTACTCTTGCCCTAACATGTAATATTTTAGAGCTTTATCCTTGCAGTTTAATTCCACCAATTTTCTTTCTTGGCCCGCCATAAGCGACGCGTCTGTCCACGTTGAAAAGAGTTGGGATTATTATGACTAAAAATGCAGTACGAAACTTCTGAATGGCTGTCACGCATGACGGGTCATCGCAAACCTTCCAGCTTGGCCAAAAAAGTATCATGTGCTCTCTTCGAAACAAAATTAATGTAAGAAATGCCTTGAAGTATTGCTAAGATCACTAAGGTACATTGTAAGGAGATCTAGGCCCGCCAAACAAAATTTTACTCACCTTATCGATCTGACCGACTGAACGTTATCCGGTCAACAGTATATTAGTTGCCGATGATATGACAGTTACTCATGATGATAAATCACACGTAAATTCGATGCAAATTCAGAACTGTTTACTCTTTGTCTAACAAAGCGAGGTGAAGCGTACTTTCAAGACATCTAACAATAATTAATCACTATTTTCAAAACGGCTTAATTTCCGATAATATAGATGTAAACACACCAACGCAGACTTTTGCTGATCTGGTTAGAATCCTCAGAGCGCGAGCTAAATTATAACCGTGGGGCAAACAACAGAAACGAAATCAAAAGTGAAAACAAA